TTTTTTTTTTTTTCACGCCCCTGGCTGTCTAGGCCACGGTTTACATGAAAAATCAATCGACCATTATCACCTCATATTACTATTTATAAGCCACAATTAACTTCTACTTTCTCTATTTTTCATAGAATTTGTGGTGCTTTTTTAGCTACTACTGTTTTATTTAGTATTCTTGCCAAGATGTTTTTGCCACGCTCGTGGCTGGGCCACGACAGAGATGTGTAGGATATGCCCGTGGCCTGGCTGGGCCACGACCGAGATGTCTAGGCCATGCCCATGGGAAAAAGAACGCTACCGGTACCTCCGTTTTTTGCTAATTGTTAAACTCGCAGGCCATTGAAGGCATCGTTTACTGTTTTTTATGCAGTTTCAAACTGCTCTCGACCTGAACTTGCTGTGTACTCTTTTTTCGGCGGATTCGGAACTCTGCACCGGTCAGCACCGGTCACAGGCACAGTTGTCTAAAAAGAAAATCAAAAAATTATTGGGGGGGAGTGGCACCTACTAGACCCGAAAACGGGTCCAGCGTTCCACTGTTTGCATGAAAAAGAACAGAGAATCTGAATATGATGACAAGTTGGAATCTCAATCCTAACAGCAGGTGCTGCTCCCCAGGGATAGATTGGAGCCTGTGTATAAAAAAAATAAAAAAAATAAAAATTAAAAATTGAATCTCAGATATGGGGAAAACGGTCAGATATTCAAGGATGCGGTGGGAGTTCCACAAAAAAAAAAAAAAAAAAAAAAAGGGCCTCGCAGAAGGATTAATGTAGGGCCGGGCGATCACAGGGTGAAGCGCCCTCCTGGAGCGCACACGCAGTGCTGCCGCTTTTCGGAAAGTGCATTGCACCTTGATAGACTAGTTGACCGCCTATCACTGAGACATACAAACAGGTTCCCTCACCGGCACCCGTAGCAGTTATACTGGGGGATCCACGTGGAGTGAGTAGCTGACCATATATATATATATATTTTTTAATTGACTTATTTTCTTTTTTCTTTTTAAGAAACAGTGCTCCAAATTGGACTGCCTGGAGGTACCTGGTCTCAAGCTAGGTCCATGTACAGCCAGGGGGTCCAGCGTTTTACAAATGCCGGACCCTCAGGAACAGCAAATTTTGACGAGTTTTCGGCCAAGAAACTCGGTTTCAATTTGGTTCAAAAAATAAAAGATGTCCATTTTGACGAAATGGCAGTTCAATGTATTCGCGGGGAGCTGAACATGGATTGTAAAGCACAGGGAGATCTGAAAAGCAGAAGATGATCTTGGGAGAGGAACCAAAATCTCTGAACAACGCAATCCCTGTCTAGTTACCACAGCAGTCCAGCCACCTTCTTCTTTTTTTTTTTTTTTTTTTTTTT